TTACCTCCTTGGGCTCAGCCTTAGCAGAGCGCAGATAATCGTAGTGTCATCCATTAGCGCCAGCGACAAGAGTGAATGTCATATTCGTAATCAGGATGTTAAACTACCCCTATATACAAGTTTTTAGCGGATTTGGTGACTTAGGCAATTTAAAAATGAGCAGGTGCCGAAATTTCTGGAGTCCAAACGGCATTAGCCGAGGAATAATAGTGAGAATCGATTTCTTGCACGGAAGCATCGATCAATGGACATACTAACCTTGCACAGCCGCTCCTTAATTGCGCATTCGGCGCTGGTCACATAGGCGGAATCGCCTAGGCCGTTGAGGCCTTTTCGTTACTGGTGCTGTTCGACTTGGGAGGGGCAATTTGTACTCTGCCAGTTTCTTTTGTTACTTCCCGTTAAGTATTGTACCTCAGTGAGACCTGTAGACTCTTGTCAAGTGTAAACGAAGCTCCTGCTATAGCACAGCTTTACAGTTGTCAAAACCCAGAGGCCGCAGACACGCCCCCAACGACTTCTGTGGTAATGCCTCTACCTGAACCTTTTCGCAGATTCTTCAAGTCGTCGTTTCTCCAGCTGGGCGCTGGCTGTGAACGCGGCCTAAGCTGCTCTGACGGACCTGTGCTACACCTGTGCTGAGTCCCTCTCTCTAGAAATCCCCTCATTCTAGAATGACGAAGGGGCGGAGTGCATCAGTAAGGAGGGTGTGGTGGTACCAGTGACCCCGCCCATATGACAACCACTCTTATGGTTAGAAAAACGGATCACGGATGGCTTAAATGAATGCAGAACTTTTCAGTATCGATAGCAAGTGCTACTGCTGCTGTGCACCGTACCTGCCAAATCCGTGTGATGCACAATGCACGCTAAGACCGTGCAGTCGACGGAACTCCTTCTCACAAACTCAGATCAAAATCCTTCGCCGTAAATGGCTCGCCGTTTTACAGGGCGATGAATAACTCCCCCTTTTTAGTTCGTACATGGCATTTCTCATGTAATTTTTACAGCAATAGAGACTTGAATCCCGGTGCCAAGATTCACTCACTGCCTTAAACTAATCTCTTTTGCGGCTTTCAGGCTTCGCATCGTCGCGCGTCGACGCGCATTACACCGCGTCCACGCGCGTCATCGCGAAGTCTGAACGCTGTCTCCCACCCGTCGATTATTGTAGATTCCACCTTAAATCTCCCTCGAGCTACCGGTTATTCCTTATATTGAACCCGGAACCTTTGGCATTTCGCTTCATCGACATTCCAGAAGTCCATGACTACTTTCTAGCTTCATCCTTTTCTAGCAATTGGTGCTGACAACTGAATATTCCTTTTTGTACTTGTATATTATTCGGCTAGATTTCAGCCCTTACTGTAGTTGTCACCCTGAAAAGTGCATTATTTTCCTGTTTATTATTGAATAAAGTTATTTCATACTCATCCAAGCACGACACCATCAAGTTTTATAAAGTTTTACGTCATGGACAAGTACGTGACAGTCGAGCGCCCGCATGCGAAACGGTCAAAGTGCTTTTGTCTTCCTCCACCCACAGTCCATGCGATGTTTCGGATCCTGGTCACTTCTTAGAAAACCAGCTGCTTAGCTTCACGAGCCCGTACCAATAAAACCGTGGCCGTTCCACTTTTGCTGACCGTACGGCTCCCTGGGCACTGACAAAGACCACAACCACTGTCAAGTCGTCAGAGCTATACAGCTTTGCGACCTGACAGTAATAGTACAACTTTGATTTTTCGTATCAAGGCATTTTAAGACAGCGGCAACGAGGCTGATCGGCGATACCTTTCACAGTGCTATCATCGCTGGGTAAACCTTCGGAGAGGACTTGTAGTTGGCGTTCGCAGATAGTTTTAGAGTCGTTACCTCGGGGACGTCTAGCAGAATTTTTGTGCTAAACTGGGGCCACTTCGAATACTTCCATCCTACCTAAATTATTTTAGGTTGGTTCGCCCACACCGGAACTGTTTTGCCCCTCAGACCTACACAAAATCCTCAGCCATAACAGCAACTCCACTTTCCCATGAGGTCCTCAAATGCCCCCTTCCCACCTAAAGTTTCCAGCGCCTATTTAAAGATTACATCGTTGGTAGAAAGAGCCACCCTGGCTGCGCTCCACCAACGCCCACCGCGCCCTCCGTTTGCAGGGATCACGACTGTAGATTTTTCCTGTTTGAGGCGCAACCCACTCTACAGCAGGATTGTAGCGACATATCATGGGATCGTGACGGGAAGTTGAGGAAGGCCAATATTTTTTTTCAAAAGTAAGGGAAAGTCATTTTACTCCATTCTCCCGCTGTGCCATTTATCATTCGTTGTGCCATTTGCAACGCCTTATTTCGCGACCCCTCCTCTCCCCCCGTCGTCCTCCACGATCGACTGCAAGTAGCATTTAATCTTTTTTTTTACTGCGTTTCAATAATCTGAAAACTGCTTGAACTGTACGTGTGTAAGTCCTAGACGCGATAGGGACGCAGGGTGTTTTCCACACAGACGCTAGGACAGAGGCACAGAGAGAACTAGTCAGCTAGAGAGCAAGGATAGCCGACAGGGTCCACGCGCCACACAGCACCACGTTGAATGGATTGGGTCCTGGCGCGAATACTGCGCACGCTGACCGCGTTCATACCTCGCGACTGGAGCGCTATTTTCGAATCACGCGCCACTTCAACTCAGTCACGCCATCAGCTATCGCGGGTTTGTAACGCTGCTAGTTAATCAATCGTATTTAGGAAATAACTTCTCCCGGCTATTTGCTGCGGTCCAACAACTAGCTGAGGAGCGCTGTTAACAGCAGTATCGCGACGAAATCGCTCGAGTCGCGAAGTATAAACAGTTCTCCACCACTACTCCTATTACAGCGCACTCCTGCCATTGAAAGAACCTGTCACACTCAAACCTTCTTGCCCAGCTTTCTAGTGAACATATCAACATCATAATGTGTCCGGAAATTTATCGCTAGTTTAAGCAACCCAAAAATAAAAACACCTGTGCCAATTAATTTAACAGAAACTAATTCTACAAGTGAAAGAAAAGGTTAGAAAAGAGAAGAACTAGCCGAAGCACAGCTGTTCAATACGTTAGGACGACACCGTATCACGATCGGGGGGGAACGGAAAACACTAGCTGAAGCATTGGTCGCTCAGGATCACAACTTATCACAATACACCAAAATACTGTTGAAACAACGGTTTTTCTATTTACATGTCAATATATGGGGAAAGAAGAATTATGGCAAGAAATCTAGCACTAGAACCAGCCAAACCGTCACGACTCTGACTGTATTTTTAATAGCTCCGCCTTGATTATCAAGACAAAAAGACAGGGGCATGACCTATCCAGTAATCCAAAACCAGTAATCCAGTAATCCAAAACCAGTACAAAAATTGGTTATCACTGGTTCTGCTTCGTCTGTCGACCTCTACAGTTCTAAGAATTCCGTGATTACAAAGTAAATCAGGCGCAAACATATAAAAAATTACAAATTCAGGCAATAGTTCTTATGATCTAAAAGGGCATTCGACGATCATAGCATGGGCGGAGTCAGGTGTACCATGGGTCTTCCCACCGCTACCCGCTCTTCACTGCCCCACTTTCCAAAATTCAAGCCAGATTTCAGCCCGAGAATTGATTCAATCAAAATGTTCGCCTCGAGATAAATTAACCCCTCCCCTACGAACACCACCTCCACTTGGCGCGAGAGCGCTCAGCGCCAGCGAACGATTTTGGCGCCAATAACTGTTGCGCGGACGCGCCAATCGTTATCAGAGCAGTTGTGATATTCGTGTTTAAGAGCTGACACCATTTGGAGAGAAAACCGTAGCGAAATGTACCGAACCGAAAAAATCTCGTTCAAAATATGGCCCTGATTAGAAAAAGGGACATTGTGCCTGTATTATGTGTCCCCTCCCCTTCTAAGGCTCTGAAGGAGAAGGGCGCGCCCACTACGAGGGCACAGCGGTATGCTTGACTCCGCCCAAACACTGAGCGTGGAACACGCCTCCAACTTCCGGAGAAACAAGTGGGTGAGAGGCCTTTTGGCCGTTACATCCGTGTTTCACTTTGTCATCCATAATTTGAGATCGACCATTTCGTTCTCTCGTTGAATATGTCGAGGTTGAGGTGGAGCTCGATTAAAACTGCTGCGTCGTTCTATCACTTCGTCGTCATTTCTTCGAGATGGGGTGGAGTTATTACCTGTTATATTACAAGATTTCTCGGAATAAGAGCATCAGAAAGTGGAGAAAGCAACATGTCAGTTAGGCATGTTCAGACTTCGCGATGTCACGCCTAGGCGTGCTGCCATTGGAATGGCGCTCCAATGCTATAACCTAGCCGCAGACGTGTGTCAAGTGGCGCGGCCACTTGCTTTGAGAGAATTGGGATAATAGAAGGGTAGGCACTACCTCATCAATCGATATCCGTCCATGGCTGCGTTCTCTGCAAGTAGCGCGACGTAGCGCGTCGACGCGCGTCATCACGAAGTCCGAATGCTACCTTCTAGCTTAGTATAAGTAACACAAACCCACACCGTTGACGGTACTAGCGGTGAGGTTGCTGCTGATATCCATTAATTTTGCGCACAAACCAGGGATCGCATCTCGCTCGCAGTTAAGCAGTTGTCCAACACATGACTCTGCAAAGCTAATCCTCAACTTATAGAAAGTGCAAAAAAAGAAATGAGCTACAATCTTTAGCGAAGATAATTTTGGAAAAACAAGAAAGTAAAGAGGGCTGATCAGAAAGACTGAAAACAGAAACCGGTGACATAAATAGCAACTAGAAGAGGGTAGGAATGTTGTAGTGGAGTAGAAGTTGTATGTAATTGTGATAGAGGTTCACAAGGGACTGGAACGGAGAGATCTGCTCGCTTGTCTAACCCCTCTCCCCCTCCCCCTTGTTACTGGGGAGCATCCAACGAAAATTGCAGGAAAGGGAAGTTGAGATGGAAAAGAAAAGGCAAACGAGCCGTTAAAAATGGGGGCAGAAGCGAGCACAGCACAGCAGCGCGCTGCAATACTTTTGCAAACTTCTACCCCCTACCCACAACAAGTTTCCTCTTCTAGTACGATCCCCCTTACCATCCTACCTAAAATCGCCCAAAATTTCGCCGCCTTGGGGAAATCCCTCCGAGCAGCCATTAGAAATAGTAATTTTGCTGCATCCTAGACCAATGAGACTACAATTTCACCCGTTCCCATAGCGGCCAGGTTCGACAACCATCGGATACGACCCCCTCCCCGCTTTGATTTCACCAACACATGAAGCCCTCCTAAAAACGCGATGGAGAGAAAGCACCTGGACTGATAAACTCCGTGTCAAAAGGTAAGCAAGAGGGAGAAGAACGTACCGATGTTCCTGGCAGCCTCCAAGCACGCGACATCCTTTTCATTGAGTCGACTTTGAAGGCAAGCCACTTGTTCCTCCATTAAGTGAAGTTCCTTCAAATCACATAGCAATTATGTTTACCTCGAACTGCACCCAAAATTCTGAATACCCTTTCAGGGTATGGGCAAGAGAATCGTAATTTGCCGCGCCGCGTCGCGTGCGACGTCGCGCTCGCTAATGACGACGATTTCAGGTGCACTGGTCGAGAATAGACAATGTATGACCAAAAATAGGCATAAGTGTCTACCATGTCCTTGTATACATGAAATCCGATGCTCCAATCGAAAGGAGTGAAAGTGAGGAAACGTCGCGCCCTTTGCCGCGCGCAACGAAGCGGCAATTTACGGATTCTCTTGCTCGTCTCCCTACCCTTTCCCATGAAG